TTACAAATTAAATTCTCTTTTTGCCTTGGTGCAACGTCACTGGGTTTTTACCCTGCAGTAAGAACAAAAAAGATTTGGTCCTTCTCCATTTATGAACCCATTGAAGTGCGTTTTCCCTCTTATGCTAGTGGTTTATAGATAATATTAGTAAAGGAAGGTGACACAACACTAAAGGGCACAACCCAGGGGTTTCTTACAGCCGTGTGCCTTAACATTGAGACCTTTTCTGCAGCAGAGCTTTTAAATTTTTTTTTTTTTTATTAAAATGATACCATATCAGCAAACCAGGACAGAGAGGTTTGAAAACCATTAAGGATGATCATATTCGAGAGGGCTATTTCCTGCTTGTAGGCTTGGAAGTGTAATATAAATATAACTATATACTTTGGTGTTAACATACGAGTAATAAGCATCCCAAGAAACACCAATGTGTTGATAACGTTAACTTTAAAGTTGACTATGATTCTTACTGGCTGATAATCATATAATCCCAGAGCACCCACTCCCCAGGACAAGAGCAAATCTACAGAACTAGGGTAGCTGGCTTCTGGAAGTTTAAAGAATATTCTTTCAAGGGAAGAGACAAAAGCTACAGACTACTTAATTTAAAGGTCTCTGGACACAATTAAAGTTGATCATACTTAAAGTGTCTGACCACGAGCCTATTACACCCTCCTTTCTACTCGGATTATCATTGATTGATCAATTATGGACTACCCTGTATGTCTGGGAAAGAACATTAAAATGCCCCTCGTATCTGATAAACAACAAATCTTGTCAGTTTTTAAATCTGGCTTTGGCTGCAACATTATCGTTATCTCTGGAGCAGATTTTGTCTGTACATTTTAATCCACTCTGAGTCTACATTTATTTTATTTTCTGATACGTTTACCCATTACCAATTAAGGAAGAGCAACTGGTCATAATTGGGCCTCATTTCTGACATTTTCTGTTTTGAAAGTTGTTGTGTCCTCTCTTGCCCCAGGGCATTAAAAAAAAATCTACTTTTAATTCCAGGAGCCTGCTGTAACAAAACTTGTACTGTAAAATGGAAGATTCTTTAACAACTATCACCTGCTTGCTTACAAATTATGAACTAAAAGTATTCTTAGTGCAACATCACTCCTATTAATGCATTGATACCACATATGAATATTGGTCCCAGGATTTCTGGTCCAATGATCCAGGTACCAACAGGTCTTTCATAATTGAGGAAGAACCATGCTATAAGTTCTTCAAAAGGAATCAAAACTTGTGGAAGAGGTGATATCTTTTATTAAACCAACTAGATACTTGCAAACAAATTATTGTATTTATGTGCAAGCTTTCAGGTGCACACACCCTTCATCAGGCATAGGAGAGAGAAGAGATAGTAAAAGTTCTCCTATGTGGAAATGAAAATTCCTATTTCCTAATACATTAAACAAATTTGTTTGCAAATATCTGTTTGGTCTAATAAACGTTATCACCTCTTCCCTGAGTTTTAATTCCTTTTGTCTCTAGACCAATACAACTACAACCTGTATTGGTCTAGGGGACCAATACCTGATAGATTCTTCAAAATATTTATTCCAGGGTGCATTTTTCTCAGCTATTTCAATTAATCGTTAGGAAAATAAGATGATGCCATTGAGAGAGTCTGACTTATTATTAGTTGCTTAACTTTAAGATCGTGCCTAGTTTCATGGACTCTGCATGCTTAAGTACCTTCCTGGAGCAAAGCCAATATGTGCTCAGCATACTACAGAACCCATCTTATTTTCACTTGGGCTAATAATCCGCCCCCCTTCCCCCTGCCCACTCCTCCTCTGATACCAGCACACTCACGAGCAGAAAAAAACCCTGTTTGCTTTCTCAATACCCATGTTATTGCTATAACAATCTTCATTTTCAGGTTTGTGTATTTTGCATTTTTCTATTACAGTTTAAATCAGGGGCATCAAACTCACCTGCTGCTCTCCTACCCTGGCTGGATTCAGACTGCAAGGAGCCTCGCAGGCTTCAGGAGTACCCAATTCCTGCAGCAGGGTGAGCAGCAGAGTGTGGGGGATTAATGCAACCGCTGACATGGGTCTCCAACAAGGATTCATACCCCAGATTTCTGCGGTGGCCCCTTGCCCTGCTTGCCTCATCTCCAAATTCCTAGCCCTTCTATGAGCCCCAGGGGCCAGATGACATGGCTCTCTGGTCCAGATCTGGCCTGCAGCCCATGTACTTGACACTGTTGATTTAAATGCATAAAAACCCCTTACTATCCACCACCTTTGAAGGTCCAAAGGACCCTGCAGTGAATGGAAAAACTATATTGCGGGGGCAGGCAATTATTTCAGGTGGAGGGCTGCTTACTAAGTTTTGGCAAGCCATCGAGGGCCACCATCACAGGCAGCCAGGGGCAGATAAATATTAATTTTCTAAATTTTTTAGGGGCTCCACAAGCCGGATAGGATGACCTGGCAGGCTGTATCCGGCCCGCGGGCCGAATTTTGCCCACCCCTGCTATATTGACTATATGGGGTTCTTTGGATGGGCCCTATACACCCAGATAATTACTTCTTAAATTAAAAGTATTGCCCCAAATTTAATATTTGAAGTTTTGTCGAAACAAACGTGAAAAATTTCAACCTTTTCTCCTGACAATTAATTAGATCTACAGTTCACACAGGGGAAAAATTATCCAGTCACAAAGCTGTGTCCATATACCAATGGAAGTTTCATTTAACTTAACTAACCCATAATTTACAAACATCAAAATATTACAATATAACATCAAACCCCTAACAATAGGTGGCCTTGGCAGCATGCTTCAAAGGCCAGGGATTCAAACAATTCCAAACCCCAGGGAGGAAGCACACAGGCTAGGGACAGAACAAATACTGCAGATTATGTTTAATGTTTAATTATTGTATGTCCTACCATACCACCTACAGGCCCTTTTGACGCGAAGAGATGTACTGCACTAGACTATACACACATCACCACTCTCATCACTGCTGACACTCACATTTCTACAAGACATCAAAAGTGTGATTTACATTCTGGATTCCTTCCATGCATCCCCAAGTAACCTCCTGACCAATGATACTGCCTTGACCTTTTAAAATTACTTGGGCGTAAGGAGCAATGAACAACCTCAGCTAGCTGGAAGGAGCAGTTGCCTTTGGCAAAGGAGAAGACCTGGCAAAAGTTCAATGCAGTTCCGTGGGAAACACACAGTCAGAAGAGAAAACAAGGTGGACAGAGAGGATATTAAAATGTAGATTAAATATATTTTGAAATTAAATTATTTTTATACCTCATTTTTTACACTCTTAAAACTGAAAGAAAACTTGTTTCTACTCAGTCCCCTGTAGCTTAGATGCACTATTCTACTGGTTAGTATAGTGAGGTATAGTGGTCACCATACACTATACTGATTATATTCTGTCAAGTTATCATCAGTATTTCAAGGGAAAAAAAATTAAAGCCATTGGAAGTTTCCTGCATAGAAGGCTACTCAAAAATGTTCCATTAAAACTTTTCTAATGAAAAAATCAAGTTTGACTAAATAAGCAACTATGTGTAAAGCATCTGCTTTTGTCCAAAATTTTTGTTTCCATGGGCAAATAAAAACCTCAGATCCCCAAAGTTCTCAGGTTTGCAGATTTTCTGAAGGAAAATCTAAATTTTCCCCTGAAAGTTTGACTAAGACAAAAATATTTTAATTTTTCACAACATTTTCCATGGAGCTTTTCCCACATAAATATCACTAGAAGTAGATTTTAGAGCAAAAAAAAGAAGGAAGCAGATGTAACTGAAGCCAATTCATTATAAAAGTCTTAGTATAGGCAGAGCTAGGATTTTGTAAAGGTGGGTGAGGGAGCAAAGACTGGCGGTGCGGGGCTGGAGGCCCAGGGCAGGCAGACCATTTCCCTCCTACTCTTGGCACCCCCTCCCTAACCCACCAGGCTCAGCAGCACTTCTCCCCTCTTCTCTGATCACCACTGCTGCTGTCCCTGGCTAAGCCAAGGACAAGGGGAGCTCCAGGGCTGCACAAGGACCTTAGCTTAGCTGGGGACAGTGATAGGGGCAAGAAGGTTCCCTCTCCCTCAGCCTGCTGCCAGGCTGGCCACGAACACCCAGGAGAACTGGGCAAGGAGGAGGAACCCACCTGCCACTGCTACTGTCCCCAGCAGAGCCACGCTCCCCATGCAACTTGTCTGTAGTGGGACAGGAGTGCCTTTGGAGATCCCCCTGGCCCAAGGACAGCAGCAGCAATGGGTGGGGGGTGGGGAGGGAGGAATGGGAGGGGACATGCAGCTGAGCATGGAAGGGGAAGGGGGAAAACTCTTACCCATGGCCAGATTAACCCTTTAGTGGGCCCTAGGCAAACAAACTCATGGACCCCTACTTTTTTTCACTCAATAATTAGAATATGTAAAATAAGCACAACTGGGCTGCTTCTTCACGTAGAGCCCCAGGCATGTTCCTAGCTTGCCTATGCATTAATCTGGCCCTGCACTTATCTGCTTCAGGGAGTTAAAAAAAAACCCGACTGCTTCTGTGACATGGTCCAAAACTGGATCTGCCCCTGGGTCTTAGGTCTCTCATAATCTCTTGCTATCTCCAAGATAATAAGCCCATTCCTTTAGCTGAAGTAGAGGATCTTTTGTATCCAGAGAACATTTATTTGCTTCCCCCACATGACTCCTCAGGCACTCATTACACAAAGGGGGATCCATATTAGGATCTCAACCACTTTGAACGTCTGATGTTCAGGACAGGCTCTCATGGTGCAAACAACAAAGGACAATCGTTAGAGCAAAGCCTGCTCTCAGTTGTCTCCAGAACTCCAATGAAGTCAGATGAACTATACTGAAGTAGGCATCAGGTAACAGAGTAGAGTCAAGGCCAAACTCTGTCCTCACAATTACACAAGGAAACCACATAGTTTTCAGTGGGTTTTGTTCATGAGAGGGTTAATTCTAACTCCAAATTCACTAAATAAAAGTGCCTGTTCTTACCTTTGCCTATGGAGTTGGCTATTCCATTCATTAACTGGGACAGAGATTTACTAGGGGAGCCAGGGAGGTCTGAGGATGCCACTGAGTTACTGCTCAGGAGATCGATCTTCCCAGCTTGCTGCCGAAATTTCTCCAGTTCCTTGGAAAGGAGGTTAAATTGTTCGCTCTGTGTCCGGCATTTCTCCTCTAGCTCTCGAACTTTGGCCTGCACAACCAAAACACAGGGGATGCATCTCAGTAGGGTAACAGAGAGCTACGGTCAAGTCAGCGCTTCAAAATAATCAAGAAGTAGGGATGGGCAAACTGACTCGAATTAATAAAAAAGTCCCCTGTTCTGCCCTTCACTCCTGAACGCTCTCAGGTATTTACAGTCAAATCTTTTGGGGGTTCTTTAATATCCAATTAAGCATTTTTTTCATTCTGAATTTCCAACTATGATAAAGCTTGCTCTCACAGTATCTCCAGGGGGGAGGCAGAAGTGGCACTGCTAGAAAACTAGCAAGGGAAATCCTGTTCCTAGGAATTTTCAGTCAGGCATTGCTGATTTGGAAAAGCAGCCAAGCTCCTGGGTACTTCTCCAAACCAAACCAAACCAAACCAAACCCTGCATCCCGTTCTGAGTTTGCCCATCCCTAGCTGTTAAGTCACGGTTTACTTAATTACAAGACTAATGTTTATAAAGGAAAAAGCCATGGTTCATGCAGAATGTGGGCCTAGCTGTTGGCTGGATTCTGTTTCAGAATTAACATACACCACTGGATATGCCAAACTGTCCAGAAGTAATCTGGATAAAAACCAACAGAGGACTGCTCACAAGCGTGAGCGACACAGTTTGTTGTTGTCAGACTGTTCCCAACTGTTTTAATTTTGAGGCAGAGCTGTGACATAGCAGAAATTATGTGGTATGACTCCATGATAATTTGGGGACTCTGCTGATGGACAAACTTATGAATTCTGGTCGAGATGATGCAACTGCTGCATCACCAAACCTGTCCGTGCATGTGCAGTAAGACCTATGTTGCCAGTGCAGTGCCAGGTCTCTTTGAAACCAAGTACGGTGGAGGGTCACTGTACCTGGATGGCTCTCCATTCAAGTGAACTCGGTTATCTCCAACTGTGCTGTAGGAGGTAGGGGCTTAGGGAGTAGAAAGTTCTCACATACTAGGTGCGTCTACATGAGCTGTTTACTGTGGAGCAGCCTAATGGACTCCTCAGTAAAACATCACTATCTTTACGTGTGGTGCCATTAGGCTGGAGTAAACAAATTAACTCCAATGTAGGATAGTACTGCCAAACACAAGTACTATCCTATAGCACAGTTATTTACTCCACCGCAATGCATGTGTAGAAGCTGATGGGGCTGGCTGGGACATGAGGGTGCTTCAGTGCAGGGGCTGCTTGCTGGCTAGCCCCTTACTGCAGCACTGTAGTGCCCCAGCAAGTCCCTCCACAGCAGATTGAACCAGGTCAGAGCAGTCCTGGGTTGGCAGGCAGACCCCCAGGGGCCCCTGCCAGCCAGAGCTGCTTCGCCCCAGCTTAACGTGTTGTGGTCCAGGGCACACGTGCAAATGGTGCACCTGGGAGCAACGAACCCCAGTGTGAACTGCGCCAGAGTTTATTCAATCACCTGAATAGCACGTGTGAATGTGCCCACTGGGTCTAAAAGTTGGAACCTGTTTTCACTGCACATTTAACTTGGGTGACTGGCATCTGGGTTAGCCTACCCAGAGTACAGGTATTCCCACAGCAAAGCTACCCCAGCATTAATGTACCCATTCATCCTGCCCTTGGCCACGTGTGTCGAGAAGCACATCTTTCTTTGTGCTGAGATGCTCTGGGCTTCTTTTCCAATCAAGTCAATAGCAAATGACTTTGTCTGTCTTTTGGGTGGACCGGTGAGAGGAGCACCGGAAGCTTATCAGCACTTGCCTGATATTTGCTGGTATCCTCACTTTAAAGTAGTTCATTCCAGGCCAAGTGAAAGCAGCATCTAGCTTCTAATCTCCAAACTCAGACAGGCCAGTGAGGCTAGGCTTAAAATGCCTCCAAACCTGGGCCAGAAGTTGTTCTGTATGCAACACACGGTGGTTTGAGCTAAAACTCAGGGAAGAGTCTGAATTAACTGTGCAGAGAAAACACGCTCCGAGAAACTCTGGCATATTGTATCAGGAGTGACTCACAGAAGCACGAGAAATTTGGACAAGAAATAGGGAAGCACTTTTACAACCCAGGGCACCAACAGAGAAAAATGGAAACTACTTGTAAGGGAGACAGACAAATTCTCTACGATTCAGAGGAGAGAGCACGTCTGTCAGAGAGATCCTGGACTCTTCAGAGGGCTCTGACCTGAACACAAAGATTGCTCAGAAAGATGGGGAAAATGCATGTGGTTTCCTGATTGGTAAATTCCTTGTGATAGCAAAATGAACCACGTATGCTTAAAATATCGTCCATCCCTGAAGAAGTGAACGTAAATCCAGAATATCCATGGAGCTGGAACTCAGGCAAAGGATGCGCTTGCACTAAATGCAAAGTGCAGAGGGTCAGCACAGGCCCAGGGATCCCAGCGTTCACCTGGGGCAGCTCTACCAGGCTCTGATACATTATGTCCTAATCTCATATTTTATCCTGAAACCATTCTTTTCCTCTGCCCTCTCCACTCCTAGTAAAACAGCTGTATTAATAAGGGGAGCTAGATAGGAATTAGACTTCTTTTATTTCCCCGTTCAACTATACTGGATTTTGATTTATTTATTTTTGGAAAAGTAGGATTTTCCACTTATTGCACAAAGAATACTGCAAATCTCTGCATGAAACCATAGCTATATGACATCCATATGCCTCACTGTGACAAAAACAACCATATGGCTTATGGAAAAGTGATGCAATGCATTCCAGTGCCCCAATCATTGTAAACCCAAGTCATTGAAAACGATCTCTTGTCTTTTCCACATGCACCCCCAAAGAACGCATGCATATACACATCCTAACTTCCCGGTATTGAATGGAGTACTCATTTGTTTGGTAATAAAATATTTTCAAAGAATGCAATGCATTTTCAAAGTTTAGTCAATCTCTTCAAATTCATAATGTGCAAATCAAATTCAATTTGTTATAGAGACCCGAACATGTTTGGCTGATGTTCGTACCCAAAACCGAGTAGGAGAGAACAATTTGACAGGACAGAGATGGTGTGAGTTTTATACTAAGTGACTGCTTTTTGTTCTTTATTCTCCCACTGTTGGCTCCCCACGTAAGCCTTTTTGTTGGGTTACTTTGCTGCTCATTAGCAACTAGTTGATAACTGGCAACAAGGCTCTTACATACAATTTAAACAGAAAGCATATGGGCCACACCAATAAAATGATTTAGATAGTTAGAAACCCAGTCCTTCCAGGGAAGAGTTTTGCAATCGGCTATCCCAATATGATGTGAGAAAGATTCTGAGCTTCTCAGCTTGCATGAGCTGGTCCCCAAAAATCATGAGACTGACACAAAAAAGGCAAGGCTTGGGTTTTTTTAAACAAATCATTAATATGGGGAGATTCTTATTTGCATGTTGGGGTTAGAGCCATTATGAGTCTCACATTCATAGATCTCTCTACAACCAAGAGAACTAGAAGTGTGTGTGGTTCAAAAGTCTGATATTTACACAAAGCTGGAGGTTTCAAGGCAAAAAACGGAGCAAAACCAAGGACTGACAACTCTGCGTACTTGCAAAGCTCCTAACGTTAAGCAACTGCTCTTTTGACTATTAAATGTTAAAAGTCACACTCACTCCAGCCCAGAAAGCCAGGAGCTCTGTGCAGCAGCAAAATCCTATTTAAAGAGACTGTCATGTTGCAAAGAATGTTTCCTGGCTTTTTATACCAGGAGGAATTTCATCCCAATTACAAAAGATTTGTAGGAATTAAAGTAGACCTTTAGAAAATGATAGATCTGATTGAGCACTGGAAAACTGTGACTCAAAACTGAAACATTGCTAAAAAGCAGGAACACTGTTTTCTTGTCACCACCTTTAAAATGTGTTCATATTTTTAAATATGCCTTAAGAGAAAAATTATGGAAAAAATGACTGTTCATAGCACATGTGAAGATGGTTTTAAACCAGTGCTGCTCACAGGTTTGGCCCCACAGGACAGATGAATGGTGCGGGGCTGGTCCATCCCTGGACCCAGGGCCCTGCACCACCTCTTCCTGGCAAGGATCAGGCTCCAGGAGCCCTTAATTGCCCCTGCCTGGCATCTGCGCACCAAAACTGGAGCCTATCTAGCATGTGGGGCCATGGCTTGTGGGGAGCCCCACAGGCTAGATGACAAGACGCTGGGGTCAGACCTACTTTAAACAGCACTGTGGCTATTCTGATTGCAGAACTTATACAAATACAGACTGAGATAATCTCATGAACAAAAAGTGCTTTTTGTTGCCCTGACGGTTTCTATTGTATGCTGAAAAGCTGTGTAGATAAAATTTACAATGATCTGATTTTAATCTAATTCTTTTGCTCTTCCAAAGCTAAATAAAATGTCTAAGTAAAGGCTGCTAAATGTCAAAGCTCACTGCAGCGCTTACTGAAATGAACCGATCGGCTGTGGCGTTCTCAAGACAGGAACGTGTCCAGTGGTTCTCTACAAACCCGCTGATGTATTTCAAATAATATCACAGAGCTACACAGGAATAATTACATTTTGAGAACTGTGTCCAGTGCCATAAGAAACCACCTACACTTTCTTCAGAGAAGCACACCTGGCCGGCAATAGACCAGTTAACATATTTAGCCACTCTCCAGTTACCACAACGCCCTCCCATTTCCTAGATAAAATCATTGAGAGTAGTGGTACTGGCCACCAAGCTCCAACAATAAGTGGCTTTTGCCAGCGGCCTGGATAGTGGATACTCCCCACTTACACTTCACATGGCTACACAGCTCGGGGGCAGCCCTAGGGGTACTAAAAGACAAACTTGGGGGGAAGCCACATCTAGCAACGTACATGACTTGGCCTCTGTGCACACACAATGCAGCAAGGCACGTGCTACTGCTGGCCTGGGGGTAGAAAATGTCCATCATGGAAGGTGCGGCACCATCAGGCATTTTTCTCCAACAGGACCAAAGACGGTGGTATCTGGCAACTTCGCCTCTACCTCAAAAACTGTCTCTTGCAGAGATCCCCTGGGAACAACCCTCTCCTTTGATCTCTTCAATAT